TGACAGGAGTTTTGCTTTCAAGAATTTGGGGTACAGTTGCCCCCAACCCGTGCACCGATCTTCTTGAAACTTCGCAGACTTCATCCTTTCTGCATAGTCTAGCATCTCTGAAAAGTTCATCCAAATCAGACAAAAAAACAACAAAGTTATAGATATTTTATTGTTTCCCCATTGTACCCTATGGCCAGATCTCTGAGGCGGCTCCAAACTGCTTCGGGAAGCCGAACGAGGCGGCACTTCCACCCCGATGTGCTGCTTCACACCCCGAAGCATCCGAAGCTTCTCCAGATCTGAAGCTCTGTCCGAAGCCTCGCACAGCCCTTAAGCACTACACAGTGTAACGGGGTATCAGGGCAGCTCCCCAGCCCCTGGGCAACAAGTTACCCAGACATCCGTACCGACAGGAATCTGCGTAGCTTGGGTGTCTGACCAGAAGCCAGGGCGCATCAGCACCGAGAGTCCTCCCCACTCTGAGCCTGATACCTGTAGGCCTGGCATTGGCTGCAAGAATACCCAGGCATGGTCAGCCCAGCCCAGCAACTCTTTAACCCTTTCCTCACCAAGGGCTAGCCAGTCCACGTGACCACACACCCTCCCCCCTTGAAGTCCCTTTTGGGGCACTTCCCTCCCTGGTACCTCTGTAGCAAGACCTGGCTGCAGGGGTGTCTGTGATGTCCCCTGGTGGCCACACAACTTCTGACCCAATCCGGTTCTCATAGTTTCATAGTTGTTAGGGGCTGGAAGGGACCTTACAGGTCATAGGGTCCAGCCCCCCTGCACATGGGCAGAAAAGACAGCTGGAATCAGATGAGCCCAGCAAGGTGGGCATCAAGACACATTTTAAAGATTGCCAGGGTGGGTGACTGTACCACCTTTGGGGGGAGCCTGTTCCAAACCTTCAGTATATGATTTGTAAAGAAGTTTTTCCTTATGACTAGCCTGAAGGAATCCTATATCAGCTTGCGCCCATTATTTCTTGTCCTCCCCTGGTGGGCCTTGGTAAACAGATGCTCCCCCAGGTCCTGATGTATGCCCTTGATATACTTATAGGCTGCCACCAAGCCCCTCAGAGTCTTCTCTTCTCGTGGTTGAACAGTCCCAAGTCTTTCAGCCTCTCCTCATATGACCTGGTCTCCAGGCCTTGAATCATGTGCGTGGCCCTCCTTTGGACTCTCTCGAGCTTCTCCACTGAAGTGCATCGCCCAGAACTGGACGCAGAACTCCAGCTGCAGTCTCACCAAGGCTGATTAAAAGAGCCCTGTTCACCTAGGCATTAAATCCAAAAAAGAAGAAGCAGGTATTTTAACTGATCACACTCCCCCATAGTTTGGTGTCATTGGTGAACTTTGCTGGTTTGCTTTATTACCCAAATCCAAATTGTTGATGAACACATTGAAAAGTGCTGGTGCAGGTATTGAACCCTGAGAGATGCCACAGGTCACCCTCCACCATGATGTCTCAGCTCTGTCACCCCATACTTTCTGGGTCCTACTACAGAACCAGTTACCTAGCCACTGGACCATGAAGGAGTCAAGGACACATTTGCCTAATTTTTTCACGACTTTATGGGAGACCAGGTCAACGGTCTTTTTGAAGTCCAGGTATATAACACCAACCTCATTTCCCACATCCAGGTGGTGAGTAACCTAATCAGTAACCTGACCAACCTAAATGAGGTGGGTCTGGCTTGACCTGCCCATAATGAAGCCATGTTGGCTATCCTTCAGAATACTGCCTTTTGCTAGCCTGTCTGTAATGGGTTCTTTGATAATTTTCTCCAGGATTTTTCCAAAGATTGAGGTCAAACTGATTGGCCTGTAATTGCCTGGGTCCTCCTTTCTCCCTTTCTTAAAGATAGGCACCACATTGGCTTTCTTCCAATCTTCTGGGACCTCTCCTGAGTGCCACGAGTCTTCACATAACTTTGCCATTGGTTGCGCGATTACATCGTCCAGTTCTTATAGCACCCTCAGATGTAGTTCACTTGGTCCTTCTAACTTGTAGATATTTAGCCTTTGTAGGTGCTCCCCCACAAGATCTACGCTAGCTGTGGGATGGTGGTCACCCCCACCATGACCATCCTGTAACCTGTTAAGTAGGTTAATACTGTTGGACTGGTGGAATACTGACGTGAAGTATTATTTCAGGAGTTCAGTTTTGTCCTAAGTGTCAGTTATCAGCCATCCAATTTCATTCTTTAGGGGCATTATGTTTCCCTTCTTTTTTTCTCTGACTTCCTACTTATCTAAGGAAGGACTTTTTGTTGTCCTTGATTCCAGTTGCCAATCTGTATTCAGGGCCAAGGGGGTCTCCCAGGCTTTTTGCTGCCTTTCTTACAAAAGGGAATGGACTTCCTTTGAGCTTTTAGGATTGCTTCCTTGAAGAACAACCACTCTTCTTGTACCCCCTTCCTCATTGGACCATAGTTTGCAGAGCCTTGCCAACCAATCCCCTACGCTTGTGGAAGTTAGCTTTTCTACAATCAAGGATTTCTACTTTACTGGCCAATTTCCCTGACTTAGAGTCAATGGAGAAAGTGATCATCTCATGGTCACTGTTGCCCAGTTTCCCTTTGATCCTCAGTTCATCCCCTTTGGCCAGAACCAAGTCTAGGAGTGTCTTGCCCCTGGTTGGCCGATAGACTTCTTGTGTTAGTCAGAGCTCCTCAATGCAAGTATGTGCCCCCCTGTGACCAGTCCCCCTGGGTGATTCCGGGATGGTTGATCGCTGCACTCACTGAAGCTGCTTTTGGGTGGTGGCTGCGGCCGCTTCTGGAAGCAAGCGCCGGCCAATCGCTGCAGCTGCTCCCATAAGCAGCCACAAGCACTCCCCAAAGCTGCTGCAGCAAGCACTGCGATTGGCCGGTGCTTGCAGAGGATGCACCGGCATTCCTGCCTGCTCCCCCTGCCCTTTGCCTAAATGGGGAGCGTGGCCAGCAGGGTATGCACCAGTGCTCTCAGGGGGTGCACGTGCACTCCCGTGCACCCACTATGCATCACCACTGTGAGGAAACTTTGTGAGTGATCGGATCTAGCTGAGCGCTCATCCCACAAGATGTCTGGGTAGTTGAAGTCACCCATGATGACCATGCTCTGAGAGCGTGCAGCCTCTGCCAGCTCTCCAGAGAATTTCTGGTTGAGCTGTTCCTCTTGGTTTGGAGGGCTGTAATAAATTCCTACAGTCAAATCCTCTTCCCCGTGCTGTCCCTATATCCCAGATGGTCTCAAGTCACCCTTCTTTGTTTCCAATCTTTGCTTCTAAGGAGGTGTAATGTTCCTTCACATAAGGATCAACTCCACCACCCTTCTTCCCAACATAATCCCTCCTATACTTGATGTATCCCCCTGTGCCTGTGATGCAGTCCCACCAGGTCTCCATGATCCCTATGCTTGTTTCCCATTCTTGTACAGACATCTAAGCCCACCATGAGAAGCCCTAGGCTTTCAGGTGAGCTGTGGAATAACCTGTCTATTGGCTGGTGTCAGAGAAAGCTTCCTATTGTACCCTGGGATGCTAGTTTTAAGGTTGTTATATTTCAGGCTTGAAAATGATCTGACCGTGAAGGGACTTGAACCCTCAATCTTCTGATCCGAAGTCAGACACCTTATCCATTAGGCCACACGGCCTCAGTGTGCTGGCTTGCTTTTCCTTTCCTGCCCTGTCTTGATGCATCTTATATTGACTAGGGACACTATCCCCAGGGTCCCAGGGTAAGCCTTCATCCCCTGGCCAGTTCCTTCTTCCTGTACCCAGCTGGCCCCAGTCTTACTCCTGAAGCACTAAATTGTGGCCTTCTGGGCCCTGTTAGTGCTTTGGGACACCAGTTGCCTTTTGGGCTGTATTTGTAGTTTCATTATTCCCCTATAGCATACCATGCATCACAGATGTCACTTCATCATCATTTACTTTCCTGTATAGGCTTTGGCCCTCTCTTCCTGGGGCTGTGTCTCCTCAGTGGGCTCCTGGGGTCATCCCCTTAAACTCTCAGCTTCTCCTTCCCCTATGAAGACTGCCTGCTGCTAGACTGGGGGCTGGGGCCTGGATTGGTCAAGGGAAGCTGCAGCCTACTTTAGACTTCCTCGAAACCTTCCCAATCATAGCTGAAGACAACAGGATAGACCAAGGAGTCCACCAGGACTACCAAGACGAGCTTTGTGTGACCTCCCACTGACAACAGTACCTGGGCCCAGAAGTAGAGTTTCACATCCTCATAAATGCACTGGATGTACATCATATCCAGAGGTTCCCCAGGATCTGAGAACAGGGATTTTCTAATAATTGTTTGGGCACACCCTGAATCCACCAGGGCCATCACCTTAGTGCCATTTACCATGATCAGGACCATCAGTTCTGCAGGCTGGGCAGCCCAGGACCAAGGCTCTACTATCCAGATTTGGGCATAGTAACACTCCATATGCAGGCAGCCTCAAGCCCAATGTCCAGGCTGGCCACAAGTAAAACAAGCAAATACACTTGGGAGGAGCAAGTGATCAGAAGTATTTTTATTGCAGGAATATTTACAGACCCTCACCCAAGTCAGTCTCCATTGTGCCAGGTGCTGTGCAAGCACATAGAAAGATACAGGCCTGCCAAATACAACTTACAGTCTCAAAAGAAATAACAGACATGGCATGGGATAAAAATGGCATTGTCCTCCCCATTTTGCAGAAATTGAAACATAGACAGATTAATGTCACAGAGGGAGAACCTGGCAGATTTCAGAGCTAAGCATTTTCATCACTTTGCTGCATTTCTTTGCATATTTTGAATTCTCTTTATGAACCTGACTTGTACTCACTTCCTGTTCCCTACCCTCTTAGGAAGATACTGAGCGCCTGGTAGCATGGAATTTGTAGTGCAACTTCTTGTCCTCCAAACCCATCCACAGAGACACCACGTCCATGTCTTTGTCTTCTGTGGCTGCCTTGAAGATGAAGTTCTGAAGCAGGATGGTGAGGAAGAGAAACAGCTCCATCTGGGCTAGCCCTTCCCCTGGGCATGCCCGCTTTCCTAAGAAAGCATAGGAAATAAGACAGACAGCTAGGCATGATGCAGGCCCTGCTCTCATCCAAAGCTCACCAAAATTGACGGCAGCCAGATAGTTTAGGTTGCAAGAAACACCAAATACAGGTGACAGGGTTTTTTATGCTGGGGTGAATGGGATTAGGGACAACCCTGAAAAAAAATACTCCCATTAATTCTGTAGTGTAATATACCCTTGAACTCTATAGGAGTTTAGCTTTTGTCATCAGTGGGTGCATCTACACATGCAATTAATTTGAAGCAGTAAACACCAGAGCAGTTTGAGCTGGAATAAACTACTCCCAGGCTCAGCATCTACATATGCTCCTGGGACAGCAGCAATTTGAGCCAGGGTGGAGCAGCTGATGCCAGGGCCACTCCTGCTCTGCTCCATCCCGGCTTTGAGTGGCAGCATCGGGACTGGCTGGGGCACAAGGATGCTGAAAGTGTGAAGCTGTTTAACTAGGTGGCAGGCAGGAGTCTGGCCCCCTACTGGCTGGGCTGATTGGACACAATATATGCCCACAGTCAGCATCTACACATACGTTTAATTGAAGTTAATTACTCCGCCATAAAATAGTACTGTCCTGGGTAATACTATCTAACAACAGTGTTAATTAGTTTACTGCAGCCTAATAGCATCCCATGTGTAGACTGTGACACGTCTACTTCGCAGAAAAGCGCATGTGTAGACATGGCCAGTGAGAGCAGGATTAGACCCACTGATGGATTTGCTGTACAACCATAAGCAGATGACATTTCAGATAGGACAGCTGTAGATCTGTTTACCTGCAGAGAAAGGTATGAAGGCCTCCCTTCTCCTGAAGTGTCCATTCTCATCCAAGAAATGACCCGGGTTAAACTGTTTTGGAGTCTCCCACTGGACTGGATCAGTGTGCACAGAATCTATCAGTGGAATAGCAGGTGTGCCCTGTGAAATTGAGAAGAAAACATCATAAAAATCCATTTTAAATATGGTATTGCTAATATGATTATTTAGCTGATGAATAGCCTGAAGAAAGGACAGCTGGAACATTTTGTCTTCAGTAAAGAGCATGACCCTTTCATCCTTCTGCAGATCGGCCAGTGCAACCCAGTCAAGAGAGAGGCTTAAATGGACCTTAACTGTTGCATAGCCTTTGTACTACCCCTCTGCATGAGCATGACTCTCAGTCAGAGATGTGTCACATGAAATCCAAAATATATCCTGATCTATTTATTTAACATTTTAAAAACTGCTAGAGGCACCCATACTAAGCCCTGGGTGCCTGTCCCACAGACTGTAATAGAGGTGGTTCTCCTCCCACCTTGACATAATAAAACACTGGTCAGGAAAGTCAACCAAGAAGCAGAGCCCACTTCTATCCCTCAGGTACTGGAACAGATGGGTTTAGTTGAATGCCCTGTTTCGGTGGACAAAGGGAAAGCATAGAATGTCCTGCTAGCTCAGGGGCGGGCAATTATTTTGGGCGGAGGGCCACTTACTGAGTTTTGGCAAGGCATTGAGGGCCGCATGACAGGCAGCCAGGGGCAGATAAATATTAACATTTTAAATTTTTTAGGGGCCCTGCGGGCCGGATAGGATGGCTGCAGTTTGTCCACCCCCATCTAGCTGCTTCCTGCTATAGATAGCCAAGCAGCAGGCGTGTGTGAGGCGGCTACTATTCACTTCAGATTCGGATGATTCGGGGGACAGTGATTTGATTTGGTGATTCAAATCACTGTCTCGATTCGATTCGGCCGAATCTCCAAATCAGCCAGGCCCATCCACCGCCCACTCTCCCAGCCCGGCAATGGCTGCCCTGCCCACCCCAGCTGCTGGCACTTGGGGAAAAAATAGCCCCAGCTCACCGAGTGCTGCTGGGCAGGGGGAAGGCAACCCCTGCTGCCCCCC